CCAGCAAAACTTTTTTTTGCACACAGAACTGGGAGTGCTACCACTGCTTGGATATTTAGCAAATGAGTTTCATATCAAGGCCCACAAGCAATCGAGCTGCATTTAGCTGAACCCCTGGGTCCGCAGCAGTTTAATCAGCTCTGAAGTTCCTCCACTAGCTATACAGGATAGTACATCCTGTATATAGTTTCCCCTTCGGTCTTGAACTTCCTTATTACTTCTTCCCCCCAGAGACAGATGGAAAGTAAAGTAAAGAGAAGATGAGGTCACCATAGTTGCGGGTCTGGGGGAGGAGACGACTTGCTTTGAAATCAGGAATATAGCAAAAGCTGAAGACCTTACTAGCTCTACTGCTAGTACTGCTAGCTCCCCAGCAGCTCCAGGAGGAATACAGGCAGCACGTTTTGACTGCCAAAGGGGAGACATTTATGATGCACACACAACGGCATAACTTTTACCTGCAGTTCTGTTGGCTAGTCATCAGACGAGATCTCTGTTGAGCCAACGTAACAAACTTACCAATATTAAAAGGCACAACTCAGCGAGCAAATGTTGTCTGAGCTCTGCCCACATAAGGCTCCACTGCCAACTTGCAGCAGATGCTCCCAGTTTCATAGATTCATAGATTCATAGATTAAGGGTCGGAAGGGACCTAGTAGATCTTCTAGCCCGACCCCCCGCCAGGGCGGGAGAACAACAAAAAACCCCAAAAAGAGAAATGGGACTCAAATTCCTCACCCTGAGGAAAATGCCTGCAGCTCCCCTTGCGCTGAACTGAGGTGCGGCTCAGAGAACAGCATCCGACCTCCGAGAGGTGCATCACGATGGGCTTGGATCTGCTAGCCCTGCGCTGAGGATGAGGGGGCCTCGCTGGCTGGGTTCAACCTACAAACTGCACTGGGTCAATCCCTACTTCAAAGGACTTGGCTGAGGGCACAAAGAAGAAAGCTTCAGTTTTGAATTCTGTTTCACACGCACAAAAAACCATTCAGACGACAACCTGGAGGGGAAAAACAGCTCTATAATCTTATTCATAGCTCAGATCTCACCTAGTTACTGGCCTGCAGGGCACCTTCTCTCAAGATTTATTAGTGAGCAGTGAAATTTTTTTTTTTAAACTCAGTGAAAGCAAGCTTTTTTCCAGACAGAAAAAGTTCTATAACGTTTCTCATTCAAAGAGCGGGCTGTACAACAGGATCCTACTACAGCCGAGCACAAAACAGTGTAGGTCTTGCCCCATCTGGGAAAGATTTAGTAGATGCTGCGAGGAGATTCTGCATTACTGAGCTTTCATCTCTACACAATATCGATATTGTTTGGCACCGAGTAGCAAACTGGGCCAGGGAAATCAAGTGACAACACAGCCAGCTTGTGGCGTTAAGACTTACTATTTGCTTTATCGTTTTTTTACTTGCAAGACTGAGTTCTTAAAAGGGCCCCAGTCATTAGTGCAAATTAGCCAGGTTCTCCTCTACCACAAACTGATTGAGCCTTGAAGCACAATAGGCCAGAAAGCTGCTTCCTTTTTCATGACATAAAAGCAAACAAAATGTCATTTCCATGGCATGGAGAAGTCTGATTTTTGAAAGGGAAAAGAAACAAAGCTCTCTCTCTAAATATGTCATGAATAACGGGGGTTGTGTATTTTAAGCATTAATAACAGATTCCTTTTGGCCACAATTTGCTGGACTGAAGCAGGATAACTTGGGACCAAACCAGATGAGCCTCAAACCCAGGCCGCCGTCCATCCCAGGGGAACACTCAAGCTACTGGGCTACTGTGGGGTGAGCCCAGGGCTGCTCTCAAGACTGGCATAGGGCATGCCCCGCTTCGGCTCTTGCGGGCAGGCCTCCCCCAGCCCAGGAGCGAGCAGGGCCAGCTTGCAGAGCGCAGCGTGCGTCCCCTGGGTGGTCCTGTGAAACAGCAGGCTCTGGGATTAAATCCTTCCGGACCTGGCTTCCTGCCCTCTGCTCCTTTTGGAGCCGAGTGGGGAAAATGAGCTCAAATCTGCCACATGCATCTCAACATTGTGGGCTGGGCCTGCTAATTACTCCTTTGTCTGGAGGAGTGTACGTTCTTTGTCTGGAGGCATTTTCCTTCTAGTTTGTTGGGCCAAAGCCTCTGAGCTTGTGGTGCAATTTCTCCTCCTCCCAGGTGTCTCAGAATGGAAGAACCGGGTTTATTTGACCACTGCCTGCACTTTGCAGAAACAGTCCTGGTTCAACCCCATCCCCCCAAGCTGGGTTTCCTTCGTCCAGTCCCCTTGGTTCACTAGGAGGGGCCGAGGAGGTACCCAGCTGTCACCCCACAGGACTCACCCCCAAGACATGGATCCAAAATCACGTGGGCAAAGAGTTCAAGTTTAGCAACTGGGGCTAATGCAATCCTGCATTTGTGGAGAGACTGAACGGATGGTACATGTTCCTGAGGCTGTCATCTAATTACAGAGGCTTTGCCCTCCACCCCTTGAAGGGGAAGAGCCAACGTTTGCTCTTGGGACACCAGAGCCATAAGATTTCATCCTACCCGTGTTTATAGATTCATAGATTGTCAGGGGCTGGAAGGGACCTCACAAGATCATCAGGTCCAGCCCCCTGCACTAGGCAACTTTATCTTTTCACCCCATGTAACTGCTTGCCATGTGCATTTCCTTGGGAGATGGCAGAGCGGAGTCTGAGCTCTCCCCTTCTCAAAGCACGCTACCCTGCATGATTACTCTCCTCTCTTTCCTTCATGTTCACCCCTCTCCAATGCCTGCAGCCTTACGGCTCTTACAAGTTGGAAGCCTAAGGAAATTTCCCATGCTCTGTGACTCCTTGAGGTGGCAGATCACTATGAAATATTAAATCTGAGGAGAGGAGGCATGAGATGGAGATTCCTTCACACACAGATTGCAATAGGTAAAAACTGGCACAAAAATTACCCCAGAGATCTGCACCAGCAAAACTTGGAAGGAACAAAGGAAGAAAAGACAACAGAGACAAAATCCAGTCTATCTGTCAGAAGAACACTACTCTGGCACTTACACCTCATCATTATGGGCAAGATCTGGAACAATAATTTTACCTAAACACAACACAAGCAGATTAAATACAACAGCACCTGGTAGTCTCCTACCACAACGCTTTCGTAATTATTGCTAGGGCTTCACTGGGTGTTCACTTCAGTAGGAGGGAGTTTTGCTGTTGACAAGAGCTGCTTGCAGTAACTAAAACTCAGACGTGCAAAGGTAATCTTTTACGGAAACACAAGCAATAGCTACTTAAACATCTGCTAACAACAGAACCAGAAAGCAGTATAATGCATGGCAAGAATAGGTTCTCTAAAGCACACTGGTAATCTTCAAAGAGCAGTCAAGGCTACAATTTACTGGCTCCGATTCTTGGCTTTGGTTGTTTAAAATGGCTCAAATAGTAGGAATCGAAAGCAATTCTTTCAAGTTGCTAAATACACCATTTATATACCGACCTACTTCATTTTCCTGTAAAGAAGCAGAGTCCATGCTAGGCCACTAGATTCCCACTGCCCTCCTCTGTAACTCTCCTGACATGATATGCAAAGCGGGAGAATCACCTTGCAGGCAAACATACACAGGCCTTTGACTACGGCACCTTGACAGAACGGTGATCAATGCCTTTGAAGTGCGTGCAATAAAAATGCAAGGCCATATCACAGAAGACCATAAGGTAAAATAAAAGCTAATGGAGGGACAGGGAAGCAGCATAAATGGCAGCCTGGGAATAAGAGGAGGAGAGACAGGGCACACTTCTCATTTTCCAGTACAGCGTATCACAGAACCAGTCATCGACATCAAATGCAAAACCACCCTGCAGAAATGAAACAGCTACTAAACATGCCCAGCACTAAACAGAGAAGTACCCTCAACATGGGCATTATGCTCCAAACAGTCAAAGACGAAAGTGTTGTACAATAACCCCGTGATGTGGGTTTGCTGTTTGATCACTTTTCAGCCCACCTTCACGTGCAAGATGCGGTTATAATCTACTGCCAGCAACGCTGGTATAACACAGCACAAAGCAACTGTAACGAGAACTTTAGCCCAGCCTGGGACAGGATTCACCTATTCATTAATTCATTAGGCTCTATGCTGCCCTACCCAAGGCGGCTTACATGAAAGGACAAAGCTACAGACTCCCCAGATGACACCCCAGAACTGTAAAATTCCTCTCTACCCCCTCCCGCTTCCCTGCCTCGCAGCCAGAGCACGCCCTCCGCCCATCCCAGCCGTGCCGAGCTCTAGGCACTGCACACAAGCTGCAAGTGGGTCAACGCCCACAAAACATCTTCTAGTTTTTCCCACAAGCATTCCCGTTCCCTTATTCCCACACCCCCACTCTGCCGTTTGTTCTCTTCAGCACAGACGCCTCAGCAGACGCATGTATTTTAAAGGACACCCTTAACAACACGTTGGCTCTTTAGCAAAAAAGGAGGAATCGGTTCCAGAAGCAAGAAGAGCTCTTTGAACCCCGTATGTCGGCACACACTCCACGCAGGGAGAACAGGACCCGAGGGGCTCGGGTAACTGCAGCTGCAATGGTGGAACAAAGAGAGAATCTCTGCTATTCAGACAAAGATCATATTAAGCAAATAAACCCGATGCAACAGCATCCTGCTTATTCAGTTCTAGGACCCAACATGCTTCTTGTATCCGTGTCACAAAATGAACACCACTCAGGTAAAAAGCTTGACAGATCCCCTTTTCCCCTCCACAGAAAAGCTCTGCTGCCAGACATACTGACTTTTGTGATGTTCTCTGCACTTGAAATACTGAACTGCTTGTTCTTTCAGCAAACTTTTGTTAATTCATTCCAAGAAGCAAAGTAAAGAAGCAGTCACTGCCCAACACTGCTAGCATCAGGTCAGCATTTCTGAACTGTAGTGCATCATGTTGCTGCTAAACTCAGCATTGGGATACAGCCTCTTGGTAGAACCGACAAAGCACTGGTACAGCTGGGGCTGTTATAGCACTTGCAACATACCTTTAAGGCTTCGATGACAAGATCTCTTGCTTCTAGTTCCCCTTCAAGGATGCTGAATAGAGTTAGTAGTTCTGGTTTGCTCAGTTTTTCCAGATTCATCCTGATCACCTGAAAAACAGAAATAATCACAAGAGGGTCTGGATACCAGATACTGCTCTGGAAAAAATAATAAAAGCTAACAGCAGTTTGCTATGACACAGAAATGCACACTATGCTTTTAACTTGGAAGCTTCAGAATTTCTAGCTTTCCCGTTATGACCTGCAGCATTAAACAAAGAGAGAAAAAAAACAACAAGCATTTTCTTTATGCTCTCCATAACCCGTTACAGAAGATTGATTTTTCACTTTTTCCCCGGGAGTCGTGAGGGCACACACACTTTCTGCCCACACCATCTGGGTAAGTGCTAACACAGCAGCACGGTACTCCCTAAGCAGCAGCTGAAGTTAGCAGAAGGGATAAATGTGGACTTTTAAAACCCGCAGTACTGAGGATTACACATCTGGACCCTTCAGCCGCAAACATCCCACTGAGGACTTAATCATGGACCCATAATTCAGGCATACAACTTCAAGTTTCAAACGGCTGCTCGAGAACAGTACCTATGCAGTACTGTGCAAGTCATCCACCTACTGTACAATAAACACTGCATTTATAACTAACATTTCAATGCTACGTTGAGCATACCGAGCAATGTCTAATGTCATCTTCTAGGCCACAGACTTAAGTCAATCACAGGGATGATGCCACAAAAGACAAGCACACAGTACTCTAGTTTCATTTCTCTCATGGCCACCAATCACTATGGTACTATTATATATATTACAGTGGATTTCAGTTGAGAGCAATTCTAGCCCCTTCACAAATTTCAAGACATCCTGTACTGCGTGGTGCAAAATGAAAGATATGCTTCATCAAAAGACAGGCTGTGAAAACTCCCAAGGCTGGGGCATATTCTTCTACAAACCCTTCCTTGCAAGCCAACAGTAGGTAAATGCAACTTTTCTATTTATTAAGTCCAATTCATTCAGACCTTCTACTATTTGTAACGCTTCCACATGTTTGCTTTGTAGCTGGAGGGTGCACAAACAGACTCTAGGGTACGACAGGGGCTCCAACACACTCGCAAAGGATGGGCTGGCTCAACAGAGTGGTTCTCAACTAGTGGGAGTGGGCTTCACAAGTGACTGGGGTGGTCTATACTCTGAACCCTCCGGCAGTACTGGATGCCATCAAGCTGGGTCACTTTATGCACCACCTCCAGAACAGGACGCAGCAAGGCCATGTCAGTGGGCCAAGCCAGACCAGGCATCGGCAGCAAGTGAACTCCCAGGGAGGGAGGCTGTGCTGCAGCAGGTGGGCCGGGGAGGTACAGGCGGTAAGCCGCAGGACCACGTACGCACAGGTAAGGAGGGACGTGGGAGGAAGAAGGTGGAGAACCACTGCAGTAGAGAATTAACATTCACTTTGTTTAAACAAATGCCCTCGGCAAAACAATCCTATTTACTTCCAACTGGTTCAAAGTCGCTGCTACTTTGCAAGTAATTTGCATAACAATGCCATTTGGTGGGCTAGGCAAATAAAGGCATGATCCATCCCGCTTACCCAGAAGCAGCTGCCCTGTCACTGGGACCAGCAAGCTGCCCTGCTCACCCAAAAAAGCAAGATGCTTAAACATCTCCCAGACCCCGTATGCCAGTGCAACGATTTACCTCTTTGCCCCTGAGCCAATTGGCAGGCTATGCAGAGAGATCCCTGCTTCACCAAAGCTGAAGCTGAAGCATTGAACAGAAGTGCTTTGGAGAGAAACTCAGCTTCCTCTGTGGTTTTCTGGACGGACTTACCACCAGCACGACCTGGGATTCTTCTGAGATGAAAGCATAGCTATGGCAGTTCATGGCACTGTGGGCAAGTCAATGTAGCATCACCAGCCATGAAACATCTGCTGGCATGTGTGTTCAGTACAGCAAATCAATGAATTCACTGTCTGAGGGCAGAAGGCGTCACTGCTTAATAAACACTTTGGTAAACCCACAAGTGTCTGGCTTCGGGATTTCCAACAAGAACAGACAACCGTAGACTGGTGCAGATGGGCAGCGCTCCAAGAAGCCATGTGAAATGCACCAAATTTAAGTTTGCTCCTACTGGTTCTGACACATTGCTACCTGCCTTGAGCGGCGAATACTGGGCAATTCCAACCAGGTGCTGAGTGCCGGTCCCGGGGAAAACAAATCCGCACCAACCGGCAGCCCTGGCTTAATGCAGCTCCTGACGCACTGAAATTCAGGTCCAAAAGATTAAAAGGAAGGGGCACGACCTGTTGCTTTAATAAAACCCACCCCAGCTACAAAAGTCCCGAAACTGCCAAATAAGTATCTGGAAAACGAATCCCAGCTCCTGTTTCATTCACAAGAATGGGCGAATTCCCCAGGATTATCAGCTTCCAGGTTCTTCACGAGCATGTGTACCGACGCACGCACTTTCAAAGCTGGAAAAGGCTACATCCCATATACTACACCTGCAGTGCTGGGCAGACTGCACTTTCAGCCATAAAAACCAAGACGCTCAAGCAAAACTTTTGTCACGTGAAAATGCCCCCCTGAAAAGCAAAACATGGAGGCCACTCCAACTACTGTTCACAGACAAAAATTCTTTCTACTTTGGGTTTCCTTTCCAGAGCTGAAGCACTGAGGGCGCAGATATTCATCATGTTTCAAACACGTTTTAGCTGCAAAGATGGGTTTTGGTCACTTTGATCTCTGCTGCAAGGGCTCATTATTTTGGAAGAAAGCTTTCCAAGGCAGTAGATACACCATATCCACGGTTTCTGGAACGCAGTCACCTATGCTAACATGTTAAGGGAAGAGAGCTTCATAGAAACTGAGACTTGCCCCAAAGGGGGAAGAGCAATTCTCAAAACAAGAGAAGAGGGCACTTAAACATGGGCTTAACAGAGTTCAAGATACAAGTATCAGAGTGAGTTTGGCAGCAGGGATTTGCAGTGATCACACGCAAGTAGTGTGCACACTGCAGCGTTTTTAGACAAGGTGCAGGTTACTGCCTAATGTCTTGAAAGGGGAGAAAAAAATCTGAGTCACCAAAAAAATAAAACCCAACCCATTCATTCAACCAATGACTGTGAAGCTGCTCTATCTTTGTTACTATGAGACCTGTAAAATATTTTCCATAAATATTTGCTTAAATATTCACACACACATGCTTTTGCTGTGCTCCCACCTCGTATGTTTGCTTTTCACTAGTGTTTTAACCGCTTAAAACGTCTGTGTTACAAGAATGCTCTCCAACCGGAGGATCTGCCTACAAATTTGATTTGGTCTGCTCTTAAATGCAAATATGCTTCTCCTCTGCCTTAAGGGTGCTGTAATCAACTATTTTAAGGGCCCCGCATTTTAACTTAAGACTCGCCTTCGCTCAATTTATGTCCGTCTGCTCAAAAAGCAACACCCCCACAACACCATGTGCACCCGCACAGCGTTGATACTGGATACCAAAGAACGACTTCCCAAGAAGCTTCCAACTGGATTTAAACAGATGGTGTCGAACCACTACAAATAAAATAAAGCGAGAGAAATTCCTTTGATGGAAAAAGTCCATTTTTAGGTTTTTGTTACTCATTTTTTTAATTGAGTAATTAAAATAAAGGGAGAAAAATCACTGGTTAGCTAATGCTGTCAGCTTCCACAGGAGTTACTCTTTGAACTTCTCTGCTTTTTTAAAATTGTTTGATACTCGTTGCTGTGTTGGTATTTCCCACGTTCGTGGAGGAGGAGCCCAGGAACCTTTCCATACAGAGCCTCAAGACGGCATTGTGACACCGTTCCTAAGTACAGCTGGCTCATTTTAGGCATGAAGCACATTACTCAAGGTCTCTCCAAGAGTGACACAATCAGCACGACAACCCAGAAATCCACATTCCCAGTCTCTGGTTTTGCCTATAAACCCACAGAGCAGGTTGTGCCCACTTTCACCTCACTGCCTGCACTTGACGTTGCTGCTGCTTTTGCAATGTAGGAGACTCGGACCTTTGCGAACTGGGCGAGATCTGCATTTCAGGGAAGCGCTGTATTGTCAGCAGCTGATTAAAGGAAATATGTCTAGTGGCAACTACCCTTACGTCTGTACCTGATTCTCGAAATAGCTGGCTAGCTATGTGGAGTGGAAAGAAAGGTATCATTCACAACACGTGCTGCAATTCCCAAACAAAGGGAGAAGACAAGTCCAATCGGCCACGTATCCATTTACCTTCCTATACAAAATTAATTGTATGGGATGCGGGAAAGGAGAGGCATGGCTTTGGTTCCAGCTTTTATAAGCTACCATGCCCGAGAAGACACTTTTAAATTGATGAGTGGTATGATTACCCTCGACAGATCTGCAATCTGGACATCCTGAATGTCTGCCCAGAAAGTGCATGACTTAATTTCAACAGTGGGTCAGACTACATCTACGAAGATTAAGACTGAATCAGTACAGATAAGAGAAAACCAACACTTGTTTTAACACACCTCGGAGCACGATGATGCATTAGTGGAATGAAGCTGTTAAAGTAAGGTATATTTTGGTTATTAGTGAAGAAAGCTCACAGACCCTCCTGTACATTTTCTAATGGTCCAAAAAATGCCATATCTAACTGCATTAACCCTAGCAAGCTCAGCACAATTTCACACTGATTAAATTGAAAACCAGCACTGATTCTGCCAAGAACTCATGGAAAGTTACTGCTATACTTCCCTATTAGTTCACAATTGGCCCATTCTCTGCAAAGCCAGGAGAGTTACCAGCTCTGCTTGGTATCACTCCTCACAAGCTGAATTTAGCCCGTATGAAAAGCCAGTTCAGAGTGAATTCATGCAGGGAGCCACAGTCCCCATTTGGCTGTGCAATGTTTTAAACTGGAGCACGGGGGTGGACCTTTACCATCCTAAGTGATAAACTTTGACCGAAACACACCCAAGAACCTCATAAACTGACAATCTTTTACAGTGTTGAAGAAATGAATCCCTGCCCAAAAGAGATGAAGTTAGAGTCATTTTATAGCACTCCAGTGAAATTATTTATAGAAACCAATAGCACAAGAGTAAGCCAAGTA